CAGGATGTTAACATCATCGTTGTGGGCATTGCGCTGAAAGCCCCACGCCAGAGCGCAGCCTCACAAAGCTGCTAGTGTGTTTGTAGACTTTTGTTTCCCTCCTCTTCCTGTCTGTCCGATCTCCTCCTCTCACACCCTGTGACTTGGCACGACTTGAGAAAACGCGTTATTTACTCTTGAAGTGTTTCCTCCTGTCAGAAGGGCTCAGATCCAGGGGACGGAGGGAGGGCAGTGGAGCCCGGGGCCCACGTTGTTTAGCACAGATGTGGGGGTGAATAGGTGAGTACCTCCCCTGCTGAAACGTGTCACTGCCCCACTGCATACATGCCTCTCTGCTTCACTGTGGCTGGCACAATTATTTTGAAGAAAAAAAAAACTTTTTTTTGCACAATTGTTAACAAAAACAATTAGATTGTGCAGCGGGTCTACTTTGAAGTACTGTGTAAAGCATGTCCATTTACTTAATAGCACATTATGAAGACCTAACAGTAGCATAATGAGCTCAGGGAAGAGTCGCAGTGAGATCATTTGGGGGGAGTGGGGAACAAAGGGAGACTCTGTGAAAGAAAGGGAAGGTTGCATGTAGGTGCAGTTCTGTAGCGAGGAAATAGGGTGCAAATTGAGATAAAGTGGAGACCTTGTGCTCAGAGCCACAAAGCTTTGGAAGCAGTCTTTAAACAGAAAGACAGAGAAAGAGGAGGGGAGGAGGCAGGGCTGTCAGCACTATTTTGGGGTTCTGGCCCAGGCCGACTTTGAGAAGGGAATTTTAATTGCGTCTGTTGGCTAGAGATAAATACCCAATCACGCGGACCCCCTGTGGGTGCCTAATCAGCGCGGTTCTAATGACCACAGCTGCAGACACCGGCCTACATGCTAACCTCTAATCACTAGACTTATGATCTAGATGCTACCTTCCTGCCTTGCCAAAAAAGAGAAATATGGAGAGAAGCAGCGTCTTTTAGTTTTCCTCATTAGAGCGCCATTCGGGGAAAGATCATAAAATGGGCAACTAGATGAAATTAAGTCTTTGATGTCGTCTTGCAAAGCTGATTATATTTGGCTTAGGAAGCTATTTGATGAGAGACCTGACTATTTCAAATAATAATACAATGTTTCTCATATAAACAAATAGTTTTATTAACTTGGGAATTCTACTTGATGATGATTTTCCACTCAAACTGTGCGCGCTTTCCCACGAGCAGTACCAGTATAAATTACCCGACGGCCATTCATAGGACGGTGAGACAGACCAGGGTGGTTCTGCGTCGGTTGTGTCGGCCTGTTGTTTTTATGGGTTGGTGTCCACACCATGTGGAGAGCTGGTTGTGCGGCTGTAACCAAAAGCCTTTCTTCTCGGAGCCAAGCTAAGCCACGTCTCTGCGGCAGCAGAGACAACCAAGCTGGCAACTACAACAAGTTTGAAACTTCTGCTTAATGGTTACGGATAAAATGAGAGAGCTTGAAAAGTAAAGGGACTGCCTGCAAGTGGGCCGTCAACATGGAGGCTCTAATCGGGAGGTTTGAAGAATTGTCCAAGTCTATAAGTCTATAAGTCTATGAATATCTTGTTGTACTTAAAGATGGTCTTATTATTTACGTATGGTGCCTTTAATCATTTAGCTTTTGTCAATTTTAGGGGAAAACTTGTTTATAATGTGTCAATTAAATATTTTTCGCCACCACGGGAGGCTTCAAACTGATTTAAGGGTTATCATCCCTGAAAACGTTTGGCATTCACAGCCACCAGTTCAACCCCATCAAAACCAAATGTGCCACCACCAGCACCGCATCATTCAGACTCAGGGACCTAGCTGTCTCTAGGGCAACTGTGGAAGGTTTACGTCTCCTATGGCAACTGAGGAAGGGGGACGTCCTTTGTAAGGCATCCAGCCAATCGTCCAGTCAGAAGACACCAATATGATTAGCCAGAACAGGTGAACCGTCCAATCCAGTCGGAGCAGATCCCGTCTGCCGGCTCAGGCGTCCATCTGCTAATGAAGTGCATTAGGCTAATTGAGCCAATTCCAGTCGTTTGAAAATCAATCCGGGTGCAGATTGAAAAGCAAATCATTCCGACAGAGTGCCAGAGGGAGAAAAAAATAAAAAAGAGAAAATGGTGGCACTCAATATAACTACAATTTCGTTTTAGAAGATTAACATTTCTTTTATGAAATGAATGCAGTGGACCATTTCGAGATACAATGATATGTCTTCCATGACGAAGAGTTTAGTAGATGTGGAAATATTTTCTCCCCCCCATTCCCCCTTTTCCACGAAGGCATCAGATAGCCTGTGATTTGGGTTTCTGGTCAGAGCCTTAGCAAGTCTGGTTTAAAATGCAGCAGGGACACTTTTTGAAGGCCTGTGCCATTGTTCAGTGGTTCTGGAAATGTGGTTTGCACATGCAAAACACACACACACATACACATTTTTAGAAACTGGCTATTCTAAATCTTAGCTCATGCAGCTGACAGCTCATGCATCCCCTTCATTCTTGGCTTCCCTCCCTTCCTCTGCACTTCTGCAGCAGCCTTGCCTTCATGCCAATGACCTGTCGCAATGATGAAGATCCATCATCATATCTCACCAATACACACTGTCCCATTTCATCATCCTATCACGGCATACGCACAGTGCCATCTCATCGGGGATGGATTTACGTGTTTCCATCCTCCTGTGGGAGCCGAGATTGTTTTAAGTGAGGGCCCATTGATCTTTTATTACACCATTAAGTCAATACGCTCCACTCATAAACAGCTTGAGATTAAATGAGCCCCTTTGAAGGGTTTATGTGCACGTGTGTGTGTGTCCGTCTGTGTCTGTGTGTCTGTGAATTCTCAGCCTGCCAGCACACACTGACAACTGGTGGCTATATGGAGCCCAGTTTAGCCCGTTGCAGCAACTCTAGTCTCTCTGGCATGGCTAGGATTAAGCCATTTATTAGCCGCATGTTGTTGGTATTCAAGGCGCTTCATTCCGCCACAAGCAGGGTGATGCTTTGTTGAGTTTACAACAACGGTAACTGCTGTATTTACTGCGGCACAGTCCACCTTCATTCACTGGCATTGTGGTGCAAGCAGTTTTTCAGCATCGTCTGCTGGTCCTAATATTGTGACATCATGATTTGCAGTTTTTCCACATGGATTCATTTTCCATTTTTTCATGCTGTGATAATGGTCAGTGGTTTGGCTTTTGTGTAGAAACAGTATATGACTTCATGGGTAATGAATGGGATTTCTTAAAAAATAAATAAAAAATAGCCCAGTACAGTCAGATAGAGTACACATTTCAGGAAATAATTTGATTAAAGCATTTGAGATATTTTTTGAAACACATACAGTTTTGGTCAAATACAAAAAAAAACTCTCTATAGTTTTGGTGTTACAGTAAATGTGCTCCACTGCTGCCGGGTATACGAGGGTTTCCTGCAGTCGAGAGTGTGTTCAGGTTTCTTCGTCTCTCTCTGCTGTCTGGTTCTAATGTCTTGAGCGTCTTAGCTGGTGTTTTAAAGCCTCTGATCTTGTTTCCAAGTCATGACCCGACTCCCATGAGCTGCAGACTTATCAGGAGGACCTGAGGGTTTCTTCACTTAGAATTTGTTCTTTGTGTCTGAGAAAGTCCGCTCATCTAGAAATCATTCAGGTGAGGTGTTTAGTACAGAGTATTGCATTTGACCTCCTTCTGGTGGGAATAAAGCTATTTTTTTTTTTGCCATCCTGTCACAGATCTTCTGTTTTTTGGGGCTTCTTGCCTTTAATGTATAGGACAGAGTGATAGACAGGAAAGGGGGAGAGAGGAGGGGCGGGACTCAGCCTTGGTGCATGGGGCGCCCAGATAGCTCACCAGCTATAGCGGGCTGTAGCAGATCTTGACGCAGCAAGAGGTACGTATTAAAGTTAAAGTTTTTGGATATATACGCTCACAGCAGTTAGATGAGATGACGCCGCTCTCATGTCACACCTGGTTGATTACCAGCTGACCCATAAGTTGTGTTACATTGTAACTGTAGTTGGATAATTATAGAGCAGGGGAATAATCACAGGTTCAAGACAATAATGCACAAATAGAGTGTGAGGTTCAACAGTGGCGGAGGTTTATGTTCTCTTAATGCAAGTTTCAGGTAATTTTCACTAATACAATTTTTGAAAATGGTGATTTTATAATATATATATAGTTTTATGTACATCACACATGGGGAAATCTGGATTTGTTTAACACAGCGTATGACCTTGATCATGTCTGTCAGGTCATAGTATTTTTTCCAGCTGGAGGTTACAATAACTGGCAACTCTTCCTGTTGGTGAACCGCACAGACTGGGAGAAACCAGAGACAAGCAACCACAGCCACTGATCCGTGAAATCGCCTCTTAGCTATATACTATTACACCCGCTGGAATTTACTCTCAGTTACATGGCAGCTTACATTGTCCGCTTAGGATGCACAATATAGAGACACACGTACACAAACTGAGCACTCACCTTGTGCACACACAGCAAATGGTTTTGATGCCTTCCCCATTGGAATTTAATGAGCCTGCAGTGGAGGTTCTGGTGATGCTCGGAACTTGCGGCCTGTTGTTTTGTCTCCGTCTTCACATTGTTTAGCACAAAATGACTTTTCCCCTGATTATATCATTATATTCCCATCAGAGCAAATTGGCTCACCACTGTCTGGAGCGGAATAACTTCCCGAGCAGTCATGTGTGAAGACAAACATACACACACACGCACACACACCACAAACGAGCACAGATGCTCACACAAATAGGTAGAAAGGAGGGCGCTCAGAGTAAAGAAATTCTCAATGTGTCAAGTCTAATGCAAGAAACATGGAAACACATAGACAAATAGCACTTGTAAATCTTTTGTTTGAAGGTTTGATGTCATTTGATGTTAAGAGCACACAACATCCACACGTTATGCTATTTATGTAGTTTATGTAGTTATGTATTGAGTGTGTTGATGATTTTTCCCCTTCCTGTCTCCTGTTCTCTCCACAGTGTGTAACTGTGATCTGGCACGATCCGGCTTCTTCCAGAAGAAGGGCGAGTACATCTGCACGGCGGACTATCAGCGTCTGTACGGTACACGCTGCGACCGCTGCGACAGCTTCATCACGGGAGAGGTGGTCTCCGCTCTGGGACGCACGTACCACCCCAAGTGCTTTGTCTGCAGTGTCTGCAGGTGCATGCACATACACCCACGCGCTGTATATACACGGCTACAGTAGTACTTAGTGCAGCAACATTATTGCTTTGGAGTCGTGTTTCTGGCAAATGTAAGCCCAATATTCACTCTACTTTTAGCTTCGTTTTGGTCTCCACCAACAAAAGTATTTGTCTCTTTAGTAGCTGAATGTTCCACTATGTTTAGCAGCTATCTGTTAACTTAGTCTGTCTGCAGTTTGGTGCCTGGCAGTTAGCATAATCAGAAGTTTATGCTTAAAACATAGTGAGAGAGTGATCCAAACAGTAAAATTACAGACCGTACATCCAAAATAATGAGCTGGAAAATGCTTTAAAAAAAAACAAACTCCACTGAGCTGAGAGGAAGTGCAGTTGAGTGATAATTCTGTTTGTTTTGTTACGACAGGCAACATATTATACACAGTCATTTCATCCATCATTATTATATAATTATTCATTAGTGTAGCTTTAGGATGCAGGATTATAAAAACAAACATCTGGTTATTCCATCCATTAACAGACACAGTGATATTTTTCAAAAGAATGATTACATCACAATATGTATTGATATAACAATGTACACATTTACCCATGTTACTTAAGCATAACACTCTACATTGTATTGTATACTGTACACATTACTTACTCACATCTCTGATTCATTTGTGAAAGCAGCCGATAGAGGACAAAGAACAGCAGATCAATTATGGAGCTACTGAATAGGAAAATAGTCTTTTCTGCCTTATGACCATGCAATCCTTCCACAGCTAATGCTACACAAGTTGCATCTTTCGCAGTAAGAAATGACAAGGTGACTCATTTCTTTATAGGGGCTTTGATAATGCCACTCAGCTCATGATTCTTATCTCGGCTCCTGAATGTCAATAAATGTCTGATTGGAAAGCTCAAGCAGTCTGGCGTTTTGCTTAGTCGAGACATGATTCCAAAAAGAGAGCTGACCCGGTGTTTCATGCTGTTAGCTGAAGTGAAAGTAGGCCATCTCTCATCTGACCTCCATCAGTGGTTGTGTTAAGCTCCTCCAGAACAAAGTAACTTTCCTTTTTTTCACCATTTCACTCTCCTTGTCCCCCTCGCCTTCCTCTTGCTCTTTCATGCCCCATTCTTAAAAAAAGTCTCTTCTCATGGTTTGTTGTGGTCTATTTTGCTCTGTTACAAGGCTTACATAAGAGTGATCTTCCTTTACCTCCCTCCAAGGGAGTAGTGTTTGCCAGTTCTTTGTGTATCTGCTTGACATTGGCTGATAAACAAGCGGTCATAAAAAAAACTGAGCTGACACCAACTGGCCGGAGACAGTCAGTGGAGCAGTCCTGGCAGTGACGGGTGTGTGTGTGTGTGTGTGTGTGTGTGTGTGTGTGTGCGTGTGTGTGGCAGTGTGTGAGGAGTAAACTGGAAGAGACAGCGAGAAGCCAAAGGGCGAATCTCTTCTTTCCTGATCCGTCTGCCCTCTGTCACATTGCTCACAATTCTTTCTTGTACCTTCTCTCCCCCCCCC